TCTTCATTACAAAAGGGGAAACTGTCATGTGAGAAGTATTTAATATAAAGGCTATAAAGATATTTTAAAACCCGTCACCGTTACTCCAGTTATAGACAAAGGATCACATGACACATCACCTGATTAACTGAAACGAAAGTTATACTTTCTTCCTCTTTAATAATGACTGTTTAAACTCATTGCAGCCATTCTTTAAACGTATATAAGGCTGAATTACAAAGCTACTTACAATCGTAAAATAATAAGTACAAAAATAGCTAATAAATCACAAAGCTTCTTTAAAAATCACTAACTAACACCAACTAATACTTAAAAGTACATGTAATAAAATTGTGAGTGCGCTTGGTCTTGGTAGTTAGCTCCTGACCTCAGATGATAATAAATGTTGAACTTCCTCCAGTTTAGGGAAAATAAAGTGTACCGGGGCGGGTTGTTTTCATTCTGTACTCTTGCAACGTCGACCTGACACAGGTGGACTCATCTCTCATTTTAACATAGTAAGAGAAATTGCATATAAAGACTCATTGTAATTACACGTAGGAACTAGCATGCTTTCGATCTTAGAAGCCAGAAATTCAGGTATGTTTTGTCCCAAGGGAGGGTACTCCAGATTTCAAGTGACAGGGATGATCGAATGGGGGCAAAAATCAAAACCCCAAAAAAATCCCTAGGGCTTCCAACAATCCTACCCCCGAATTTTCGAGCCATAACAATTCCAAGAAAGAATTAAATGATATAACACGAAAATAGAAACATAAGTTTTGAATATCCAAATACAATCCCTGCTCAAATCAAGCTACCACCAAAAAATACTTGCCAAAATTTTTCTACCACAAAATTTCCGGAATCAAAAATTTGAAACCCCCAAAATCCTTCTGTCATCCCTGTCACTTGAAATCCGGAGTACCCCGCCTCCCCCTGGGGGACAGCGTATTATTAAATTGGGCGAACAATAGTTACAAATACCTTAGCTATAATAAACCAGTGGAGCGCCACATTGCTTGAGAACTCTGAGAGAGTATGGCCTCTTGTTTGCCTTTTTCATATAAGCGTAGTCAACATGATGGTTCCACTTCAGAGTACTAATACAAGCTCCAAGCAAAACAGTGAATAAGGCTAATTAACCATTTTTGCGAGGTAAACCCATGTGCCTAATAAGTCTCAAACTATTTTGATCTATTTATCCGATAACTTTACTCACTCTGCACCTCCATCAGACCCATCCCAAACACAAGTTCTACTATAATAGTGTTTCCTCCTCTTTATTTGTACTTGACTTTTGTGATCTTTAGTTTTATAGAGACCTCAGTTTAAACCTCCATGCCCCCGGGAGGGGGTGGGGGGTACTTTAGGAATTTCTGGGTGGGGATGTGCCGCTGGGACCCTGGATACCAGAGCTAGTTCAGCTGAATTTTGCTACCCTATACTAGAGTAAACTCGCCAAATCCCCCCTATCCTAGAGTAGCTCTTTTCCAGAAACTACTGAGGTCACAAGCACAGTAGTCTAGCCAAAACAAAACCTTATACCACAATCCCTTGTCTAGATAAAATCTTCAACCAACTGATCGGTTTCCTGCAAAAAAGGTTTCCCTATTCTAGACCCAAACGCTCTGATTATATACCCTATCCTAGAGTAAACTGCTTGAAAACCATACCCTTCACAGCGGCACATAACTATATAGCCCATATATGGCAGTATTCCCCCCCCCCCTGGTCAATCCCTGATTATTGCAACACAAAGGCTAATGCATTGTACGATGGTGTAGTAGAAATGACGCTAGCAGGACACTGCGGCATGTAATACATACTGAACTGGACAACTGAGAAGCCACCACTTTAGACTGTGAAATTAAATGGCGATCATAGCTGGGATTTTTTCACATTTATTGATCCTACTAAAGTTTCTGACTTTCAGTGAGGGCCAGAATCCAACAGGCAGGATAGAAGGATGTTCCCAGTAATGCTGCGTTTCAAAAAAGGACGCTTGGTATCCCTGAAGAGCAGACCTTATTTCCTAATCTCGTACCCAGATCTCCCACACAGAGTGAGATCTGGGTACGAGATTACTTATTTCCTACACCGTAATTTTTAGGGAGTTATTATAACTCCAAAAATGGAGTAAAAATTTTAGGTACAGGATAACCCCATTTTTGGGGTTATTTTAACTCCTAATTTAACTCCGAATTTGGGGTCATTTTTACTCCTGAAAAAGAGTTCTTTTTACTCCCAGTCTGGAGTTAAAATTACTCCGAAATGGGGTTACTTGTACTCCTTACATGGGTTGTTTTTACTCTTTTTGGAGTTAATTTAACTCTGAAAGTGGAGTAAAAATTTTAGGTACAGGATAACTCCTTTTTTGGGGTTATTTTAACTGCTCAATATCTGGGGTCACTTTTACTCCTGAAAAAGAGTTCTTTAAACTCCTTTTTGGAGTTAAAATAACTCCACGAAAAATAACTCCACTGTAAGGAGTTAAATTAGCCCCACTAGAGGAGTTATTATAACTCCCTGAAAATTACAGTGTATCCGCTTATATATATTCCACATACATTATATCGATCGTCGAGTATTATATTTTTTTTGTAGAAAGGAGTAAGTGTTTTTCAGTCAGTGATAGTGAGCACTTCAATTTTCCACCAGAAAATGCATATCTAGCCGGTTTTTTGAAAACAAACCTAGCAAAATTTGTGCAGCTATCTGAGTGAAAAAGGGCCAAAAGAGAGTATTTTTTGCGCCAGATAAGGACGAAAATCATCGGCTAAGGAATTCAAGGAAAAGGAAAGGAGAAAGCGAAGAGCGAGGAGGAAGAAAGGAGGTGAAGAGAAAAAATTAGGTGCACACTTAGTTTTTATGTTAGCTATTTTGGTCCGAAAAAAGACCGCTTGAAGGAAGAGGTCTATTTAGCGGTAACATTTACACAAATCCGGCTAATTATACATTATAGTTCAATCACGCGTCTTCAGGTGCCATTTTATGAAACTTAAATTAGGGACAAAAACTGTCTTAATGTAAACTTAAACAGCGGCCTGATTTTTATTAATAAAATTTTAATGATCTTTGTTTTGCGACGATGATTTTGTTAATGAAAAGCGTGTCTTTACAGCTGTCTTTAATGTTACACAAGACAGCGAGAGAGGTAAGGTGATATATATAGAGGATATTACACGGTGGCGCGAAGACATAAATCTTATTTTCTAGTGGCAAAACAATATTTTACGAACGAGCGCAGCGAGTGAGTAAAATACTGTTTTTGCCACGAGAAAATAAAATTCATATCTTCAAGCCGTCGTGTAATGTTCTTTTTATCATGATACAGACAAAATGACATCGATAAAATAGTAGAGGGAAATTACCAAAATTACGTCATCGATAAACTCACGTGTGTATGGAAAATAAACCACTCGGGTCCCGGATGTAGTTTTTATTAATTTTACAAGTGGTGTATTTTCCATTATACAATGATGTGAATGCTACGCGCGCTGTGGTTGGTCGTTGCCCATGATCTATTAGAGTACAGATACATGGATGACGTCACGGGAAACTTGTTTTCTTTGTTTTGTTCAACATGGCTCGCGGTTTTGAAAATGTTTGTGAGATTATTTCGGATTGAGGCAAGTAAAAGCCTTGGAAAAAGTTGAGCAGGATCTATTTACAAAGAAGAAAAATGGAGAAACGGAGACCAAAAAAGCTATTGACTACTTGACAATGCCTAAACTACAAGAAATCTTCACAACAGTTGCCATCGTGTGTCTTCGGTACGAGGGACGAGAGCGACGTTTCGACTAAAGTACTAGTTCTGAGCCGTATATTGATCACCTCCATCTGACGGGTACCAGATGAATTTTAAGGAATTTTCGAAATTACTCAACTTTCACAAACCTCGTTGCTAAGGCTTTTCCCCACGCACGCGTCTAAACCATTAGGTTCTCAAGGGCGTCTGCGACGCAGGCAAACGGCGAGACTGCGACCAGTTTTTTTTACTCGAAAATCTGTAAGCGAGAGTATTTGAGCAGCGAAGTCGCGAGAGTTGGGAGGGCGCGAGTAGACTTGCCTACAAGTTGAGGTCGATTTTTTGTGTTTTCTGCGGCAAAAGCAAGCGAGAGAGCGAGAGCTGGGGCCAACTACTGGAACCGGAAATGAGAAGCGAAGGACTTTGCCGGAAACGGTCTAAGGCGCGGGTTGCGAAGACGCGAATACGAGCGGAAAGAGGACTCGCGCGATTTCGCTGCTCAAATACTCTCACTTACAGATTTTCGAGCAAAAGATAGAGATCTCCAGGATGAGTGATGGGAAAAATAAATAACGAAAACAAAAATAAAAATAATGGTGAATTATATTTACCCGATATTCTGCAACACAAACCCCCAAAGTGAGCTATACACTGGGTATAAAAGAATAATGAATATAGATGCAAGACGAACGTTACAAATCTGCGATATTTGAATACGGGTAGGAGAGAACCCCGGGGGACGAGGTTGTTCTTTTTTTGTTCGAGTTATTTGCATCGAGGAAAACTACAGTACATTTATATCAAGCACCGGAAATGAGACTTCAGAGATTTTCCAAAAATTGAATATACGCTGTATCTGAATATTTAGACATGCTAAGGAAGACCTAAGGAATTGTGTCGGTGTTATGAATTATCGGACCCGCCCGGGGAAAACTCACTTGTTGTTGTACTTTTACGTAGAGTCAGAAGGATTGCGAGCTATTTAGGGTAGCAGAAACCCGGGCCATAAAGAAAAAAAAAAATCAAGGAAAAACAGTAAACATGACAAATATTTACATATTTTTACTTATTCAGGTACAGACAGGTCGATATGAATTCCTGAAAGCCCCATTGATTGTTTTAGCGATGGTTTAAGTTCATTAACCCGTCCATCACAGTTAAAAATACGTGACTGTTAGCGCTGAACCAGGGCCCTTGTGTCGTATTTAGATGGGCGCGGTCGCGAAGGTCAGGCATGCTTGATTTCCGGTTCTGCGCAGTTGTCGTCCATTGACAACCGTACGAAGATCAAGCGAAGGAAGTGAAATCATACATCAGCAATATTTATGTTTCGCGAAAGAAGAGTTTTGGACCTTTGCTCACAACCATGAACGGTTATGTGTGGACCTTTATCCTATGGATAACTACGACCGTGTATCAAGCGAATGGCGAAACTGGTAAGGACGCTTTTTGTCTTCTGTCACGACGAAGTTTTTCTACGTTGATTCGTGAATCCTGGTTAAGTCTTACTAGTTCTGTAATCGGATTACCAGTTGAATTGCTTGGTTTTCTGACTGCCTAGTACGGTTTTGATTTATTTTAAAATGACCGATGAAAAATTGTGAGTTGAAACAACAGTGTATGAGTAATGTTGCTTGATGTGCCTGTTTCTTTCAACTTGTTGAAAGCTGCCATAGAAGACTGGCACCCGCTGTGTGATTAGAGATTTACAGCATCCGCGCTCACATCTCTTAAAAGAGAATGAAAGACCACCAATAGCTAGGTAGTTTCGAACCACAAACTGCTTAAAATATAATTATTTCGTTTTCTCAATTACACTTCCCGAAGAAAATATGGCCTCCCATCTAAACATTTTTTAAGAACATCGCGGAATTTCAAAATATCCGGTTAAGATGATAAGCACTAAAGGGAAAGTTCTACAGAGATTATTGGACCGTGGTATTATACAGTTAGGGCTAAAATAAGAAAAAGAATGTTAAATCCGTTTTGATGGTTGGGAAGGTTTAAAACGGATAAAATCTCTCGATAATGTACGAAATTGACATGGTGAGAGAGCTCCCAAAATTAGTTTGGGTATAGCTTGGAGGAAATTTGTTCACACTCCAGGAAAGTATCAGTTTCTTCTTCAGTTTCTTGTCTTTCTTTTTGAGTACTATGTCCAAGCGTGGTATTCACATGTGATAGACATCTGAAGGAAAGACTATCAGATGTATTATGTAGTCAAAGAGATGCATATGTAGTTAAGAACCATCTATAACAGCTGGTTCTTGAACTGCAGGGTTTATAGTGTAATTTTGTGCTGCCACATGACCTTTGGCGCCTATATATTGCTCGAGAGGTACTCAGTGGCCCCTTTCATTTTCTTGGGTTACTAGGAAATCTGAGTTAATCCAGATAACTGACTTTTTCGGTGACTGAAGGACAGTGATCAAAATAATGGAAGCTAAGTTTAACATTAAAGCAATTCGCGTATAAGGCTGAGTACTATCTGAAAAATAATGGAGATCGAGGAAGGTGTTATCCACCAATAACCTCCTCGGAGATCTGTATGATTCTTTACATCTTACAAAAGCCGAATCCAATAATTCTTTTATTATTCATTCAAAATTGGCCCCAGTTAAAAAAATAAAAAAAATAAAATAAATAAATAATAATAATAACAAAAAAAAAAAAAAAAACAGGTCAAAACATGTTTTCGTCTTCATTTGCCTTTTACTCAGCAAATTCATGATATAAAGGCTTGTGTAGTTCTGCATCTCCAAATAGCAGATGTCATCTGTCGAGTTGTATTCTAGCTGTTCTTTCTTTGTTTTCAGGCAGTAGTTGAAAACACGTTAGATATTTGGCCTAATTTTTGTACTGCTCACCAAAACAACCCAACTTTGTCCCCAGCACTTCTCAGTTGCTATCCATCATTTGGCATTTACATGTACGCTGTACTTTTGATTATGCTAACTGGTTAAATGTAGAGAAATACTTCATGGAAAGTGCAGACGTATAGTATGTATGCACGAGTTGTTAACGCATCCGAACGAGTGAGATTTCTGATACAAAATAGCGAGTGCATAAATACTGTATAAAGCACTTTCCATGTGTTATTCAGGGTTCGCCTTGTCTTGAAAAGTCCTTGATTTTCTAGGGAAGTCATTGAATTCCATTTTTCCTTGAAAGGTCCTTAAGTTTCTGTGCAAGTCCTTGAAAAGTCCTTGAATTTTCATCAACTTTGAACGAAGTGGTCTGGAAAGAGTTTTTTGATGGTTATTTACGTATGCTAAGTTATATGCAGTGATTAACTATCAATTTAAGACCAGTGAATGAAAAATGTAGAGGAGTTGGTGAAGCAAACAGTTCAAGTCTTAAAGTCTTATTAGAATAGACTGGGAATGTGCATTTTTTCAGAACCAATCAGATTCCAGGATTTGGAGGATTCCGCCTGCTCGCAAGCTTAGAAAAAAATAAACATGTATATGTTACAGGTCAAAATTAAATTCAGGTTAAAACTTTTTAACCTACATGTAGGCTCAATCTCAATTTCTTTTGTCCCCTAACCCTAGGGGTGGTTAGGTTAACTCATGACAGTCTACAGCTGTATCTAATACAGCGTTTTCAGTAAATATTCTGTAAAAAATACTCTGGAGAAGTTTGAGAGAAATTTCTGTAGCCATGTATCAGCAAATCCTGTCAAAATATAAGTCATCGGATTTGAGCCAATCAGAAAAAGAGCAATATTTTGAATGAATAAGCATGACATTTGTCATTAACTATCTTTCTTCCAATTAATAGGGAACTTCACATGTAAATGGTTCCTAATATAAGGCCCATCATAGATCATGCTTCTTTCTGTGCTGAATTTACTATTGGTAATTCTTAAATTAAGATTGACAAAATATGACATGTCAATCTAGACTCTGGTCCAACCTCTGAATTAAAGCCATGCTTCAATCTTTACAGAAGCCACATTGTACAATAGATTTAAAGTCCAAGAAAACAAAATTAATTTTGTTTTAAAGAATATGAAGGCCTTTGATTGCAACATGTATGATAAAAAAACAATATTATATGTACACGGTATGAAAAAATATATGCTGTAAAATTTTCATTTTATTATGTTAGAAATTTTGCTTGAACAACCCGGTGAAGGTGTACGTTGGTCATGGCATACTACAAAGAAGGGTATTACTGGTGCAGGGGTAAGTAAAACTCTTTGACCCAATTTGGGACTAACATCAATTTTTTTATGAGAATCAATCAATTTCGAAATGCATTTTAAAACAAAAATCAAGGATACATGACTGTATGAAAGACAATTGTCATTATTTTCCATGGCTACATGTTGGGTAACTACTGCAGGTATGGATGAGTTTTATTGTTAACAAGATTTACAATCAGTAAAAATTATTAAAACAATTTACAGTGTATGGTTGTTTGTCAAAAGCACTGAAAGGGAGGCAGTGGTAGGAGAAGGGGTGTAATGTTTTTCATAGCCCAATATTGTCTGTTGGCAAACTATTCGACTTACGTGAAATTTCTCACCAGCTGTCGGCTGATCGGCTGACTGTCAGCCAAGAGGTGGCCAGTAGTTGGCAGCATGTTGGTAATGTGTGGACGATGTTTTGACTTTGGCCAGTCTGCATCACCCTATAAATTTCATTGCCAAAACAGTACTTATTAATAATGGCTTGCAATACTTTGCAAAGCAAGAAAAGGGACTCCGTAGTATAAAATGTGACCAACCCCCAAAAAATAATGCTCTAGAAAGACACTTGAAATGAAGTTTTCATTTTGGTATGTCATAATATTATTGTAAAGGTTACAAATAATATTAGTATCATTTGAGTTTTGATGTGTTATGTTTTTATTTTTTTTAGTGGAATTTTCTCTCAAGTCAGACGTATTCAGTCTGTGACATAACCATTCCAAGCCAACCAACTAACTGGCTAAGAACAGATTTTATTGACGTCAAAGATGCTAAAATGCTGAATATTAAACTGAAATACAACCTTCGTAGATGTCCACCAACTGCAAGTTCTTTCTGCAAACACAAGTGGAGCATTTATGTGCTTCATGTAGAAAAAGAAGTAGTTGGAGGTGATTTAAACCCACTCACAGCTAATGAGTTAACATACGAAGAGGTAGAAACAATTGAGCCAACAGTCCTGCCTGCACACGGAAAACCACAGCCATATGATTATGATGTTAAAATCATAACCAAAAAGGGAGGTGTGTATCTTGCATTCTTAGACCAAGGAGCCTGTGTGTCATTATCAAAAGTTATTGTGAGCTACAATTATTGCTCAGAGATTGGCAGTGTTTTGGTGAGCTTTTCAAGGACACCTGCTCCCGTGAATGACTCTTATCTAGTGGAACAAACAGGGCGTTGTAGTGATATGAACTCAATTAACAAAGTGAAACTGTCAGGAGTGTGCCTTAGTAGTGGAGAATGGAATATCACTGATGGAATCAAGTGCCTCTGTAAACCTGGCTATGAGCTTGTTAATGGGTCCGAGGGAAATGTGCTGGAATGCAGTGGTAAGAATAATTATATTTCACTTTAACTAATTAAATAGTAATCAAAGATTATGGTGCATCATCTTAAAGGGCATTAGGCAGCTCGCTGGGTTACATATTGTAGAAACGTTCACCAACGCTGGTCATATCGACGCAAAATTGGAATGCCAAAAAAAAAATTTCCTGATCTGTGTTTTTCCCCCAAATTTTTGATGCCCTATGAAAAAATGTTTAGAAAAGAAATCGGCTGATTGAGATTAACCTACAAAGTTTTTAAGAAAGAAAAAGATTTTTTTTGATCTATGGAAACCTTGCCTTGTGTGAGAAGTAACAATTCCCTGATAGGCTTTGATCTATGGAAATGTTTAGAAAAGAAAGAAATTAACCTACAAAGTATTTAAGAAAGAAAAGGATTTTACTTTGCCTTGTACATGTAGTTTTCAAAGCTAAAGTCACTTCACAAAGCCATGAGGAATATAATGGTATGAAACACACATGGAATGATGGTATTGAGAGGTCAAGAGTTTGAACCGACAAGCTCTTTTCCTGATTTCTTGCACTTAGGAGCATGCACAGACTGTCCACGAAATCAAAGAACACCCAACTACTCAATTAGGGAGTGCCTCCTTTGTCATCACAATAATTTGTGTAAATTATATATTTGTGTCAGACTGAGCAATCGTTAGTTTGCAGTTGGTGGTGTGTGATATTGTTGTTAAGACTGATTTTGTCCCTTTAGTTTTTTATTGGCCATACAAAATGGCCACTGCCATTAATGTAAAATTTTTTATGTGATAAGCTCAATGTTTTTTGCAGTTACAAAGTTTGTCTGACTAACTTTGAATTGACTAAAATGCATATAGTTCATCCACTTCAGATGATAGAATGCATGAAGATAATCTCTAGACATCACCATTTAAAAATAAATCTTCTCATCAAATGAACTCACTAGACCTTTTTACCATTGTATGGTTTGTTTTCCCATTGCAGACCACGTGATGGTATCTGATGAGAACTGTTGAATTCTATCAAATACCCTCCTATGCATGTGCAGCCTTGTTGAATGTACATGACTGTATAATATTATTTATGCATTATTATGAAAAGATGAAGGGTAAATTCCCTGGAGAACATCACGTGGTCTCAATTTGGAGCGGTTAAATTTGAGCTCTCCATCAGGCCAAAAAAAACTCTCCATTATAAATGGGTTACCAGGGTCGTGGTGTATGCACCATTTTTTTTTTTCTATTTAAACTTAGTGTGATGCTTTGTCAAGTTTGCTGTTTGACCCAGCAGTCAGTCTGCTTCAGTCTACATCTAGTGTTTGGATAGACCCTTTACTTAAAATGCTCTCATTAATCCTTCACGTAGAATGTCTGAAGGGCTTTTACAAGAGTGTTGCAAACAACAGTAAATGCAATGAGTGTCCTGCAAACTCAAAATCCAATACTGGAAGAACAGGTTGCTTATGCTATGATGGATTCTACAAGAAATCTGGATTACATGTAGCTCCTTGCAAAGGTAAATACATGTACTATACCCAAGATATACTCTGGGTTCAGTTTATCTTTGTTTCAATAATTTACTAATCCATCGGATTATAACTCATTGAATCGATGGGTTATTTCCTACATCTTCAGAATATTATGATAAGCATCAGCTGGTTATGAATTTGCAGCGGGGTTAATTGGAGCCAATCAGGAATGGCGTTGAATGGATGGTTTTTACTTAATTGTTGTAAAACTCAATTACTTTCTCACTGCATCAAGACCAATGCAATGCATCAGGACCAAAAATAAATTCAAGAAGCTTCCTGACAATTACATGTAAGTGAATGTCAAGAATGGGAAGTTCATCTCTCACTGCTATTTTTAATAACATTTTTATTGATTGTTGATTAGATACATGTATGTTTTGTATACAGTGGAAGCTCTTCTAATGGACACTGCTGTAAGCGGAAAGCTCTACTTATGGCTGCCTTCACAAAACTCTGTTTTTCTCAACTCCCATACAAACTCTGTATTTTTACAGAAATTCCCATAAGCGGCCAGCTTCAGTTACGGGCACCTCTTTTGCGTCCCAAAGGTGTCCTCTTATGAGAGCTTCCACATACTGTAATTACTTTTCTAAAGACTCTGGGTTTTATACATGTACCCTTTAAGTTGAATGGGCCACTCTATAGAAATAAACTGTGCATGTAGTGCTAAACGTAACTTTTGATATTACTTTACTAGTATCATAACAGTGATTAAGTACATGTAGTCACAGTCAAGGTCAAAACGGTGCAGGTGAATGATGTGGATGATAAAATGTTTAAAGCATTTTGCAACTTCTAAGAAAATTATACTGCCATGATTATAATATAGTCGAACCTCCCATTTTAAAGCGACCACCCAAAATGCAAAGACTAAGACAGTGGTCGCTTACGGGAGGTGGTCGTTTACAAGAATTGAACCTCAGGGGTCTCTTCTGAGAAGAGGTCCAGGTACATGTACATCTCTTTTATGGAAGATAATTTATTGCATAATTTATGACGTCATGTGCAGTTCTATGTTGTCACTAAAGTTCTTCGTATATTCTAAGTAGCATAGTGCACACAGTGAACATAGAGATCAGAGAATGTGTCAAGTGATTGCTTACAAGATGTTAAAAACAATGGAAAATCATTAACCGTCAGGCCCAAAAAGTGGCTGTGGTCACTTACAGGAGGTGGTCGTTTACTGTCGTTTACTGGAGGTTCCAATTGTAAGTCTTTGACTGGGAAAATTCTGCTGTTTTGGATCGGTGGTCGCTTATGGGAGGTGGTCATACATTGAGGTTCGACTGTACCCTTTATGCAAATTGTTATAAGTAAATATCACATAAGTATTAAAATACACCTTACAAACATAGTAAATTGTTTACTAATTACACTGAAAAAAATGAATTGTCATCTTTTCCCAGCTTTGCCAGCGGCACCACTCTATGCAAATGCTACAGTTGTTAAGGCAACCTATGTTGTGATTAAGTGGGAACGCTCACCTGATGACAGCGATGGAAAGTTAAGGTATGTTGTCGACTGCTTCAGCTGCAAGTCCAGCAAATACAAGGATTGTAATGAGGCCTGTGGACCAAGTGTACAGTATATGCCAAGCCAAGATAACATCACAAATGTTGCTGTGACAATAAATGGCTTGCCTTCTGACAGCTTCCTCAAGTTTCGAGTTTACTCTGTCAGTGAGTTGAATGAAGAGGAGAAAGATAGAGACAAATGGAAATATGTTACAGTATTAGTGAAAACTAAAGGTAAGAAATAGTAATATATTTATTGTTAAGGTGTTTTGATACAGTTTTTCAGAGACCATAACGATGTTTTTCAATCACCTTAAAAGTGATTTTTTCCTTGTCCGATCGCTACAAACTTTTCACTCGTGGTTGACTATGAATTGAAGTCTGTCAAAATGCGGTTTTAGTAAAATCGATATCACTATGACAATGTTCAATAAAGAAAAAAAACTTTGAAATCGATAAAATCCAAATTTTGCGCAATCTAGACCTGCTACTGAAAATCCGACACCAGGAACTTAATGTGTGGTGTTTAGCAAATACCCTCTGAGAGAAGTAAAAAATTCTGTATGTTCAATAGCCATGATAAGTTGTTTAATAAAAAAGTTCTAAATAACTCAAATTAATCTTAAGTAGCATCAGAAGGCTGCTTAACGTAATATTTCAATGCTAGGAAAGTTTGGAATTTTTTTGAGTTTCAGGATGGCAAGAAAGAAAATACGCCAAAATTTCCTAGCATCGAAAAATTATATTAAGCAGCCTTCTGATGCTACCTAAGACTAATCTGAGTTATTTAGAACTTTTTTATTAAACAATTTATCATGGCTATTTAAAATTATGAGGTTTGAAGTGTTTTATTTGAATTCAAACACACAGAATTTTTTACTTCTCATGGAGGTTATTTGCTAAATACTACACTTAAAGTTCCTGGTGTCAGGTTTTCAGTAGCAGGTCTGGAGCACGCAAAATATTAAAATATTAAAATATTAAAAGTTTTTTGTTTACTGTTGTCATAGTGATATTGATTTTGTTAAAAACTGCATTTTGACAAACTTCAATTCATAGTCAATCACTGGTGAAAATTTTGTACCAATTGAACAAGGATAAAATCACTTTTAAGGTGATTGAAAAACATCGGTATGGTCTCCCAAAAACTGTATCGAAACACCTTAATAACAGCACAATCTAAACTGATACAAAATTTGTATCGGTGCTGCTTCCACCGCTGGTATTTTTCAGTTGACAAGTGTTTTTTGATTGTGCTGTGTGTGAAGTCTGCATTTTCTTTCCAGGGAGTAATTAACAACAGCAGCAACAACAATTTTATTTAAAAGCAAGGAAATGCAGTGTACATTAAACGTACACACTGTCTGCATTTAGCTAAAGCTATTTGAGGCAGGCAGTGTGGGTACTCTACATACTTAAAGATATTTAACAGGGAAAATTAAAGAGATTTATGACATCAAGGTAATCATTGTAAATCTTTGATTGTAAACATACATAAAAGATGTAATGATTATGATAATGGTATAAATTTGTTTTCTTACAGAGAAAATTTCACCTGCCACAAAAGATCCAGGTAGGATTTAATTTGTATCAGGGTTTTTTTGACAGTAACATACATGTAATTGCATTTTCTGATCTATAGTCATTGTTTTGTCATCATTTTATCTGCAATGAGTGACTGAATTGTGCCGCATATGTGTTGTTTCTCCAGGTGATTCCTCACCATTATCAAATGACGTTAGGATGGTTCTGTACATAGCTGTTCCAATTGTGATGCTAATCATCGTGGCCCTAATAGTTTTTGTGGTGTGCATGCGGCGCAGGTAAATTCAGAAAATAATTATTTAGATAACTATTATCTTTAGTTAATAATAGTTAGTAACTGATGGTTAATATTTCATAATAGGTAATGATTAAAGAATTTATTAATGAACATTAAATTATGAGTTTATACTCTGATGTAACATATACTTGTAGGTAGATTTATGCCACAATTTTTTGCCCCTGTGGAATCTCAACTTTGAGGTCCCAATGCAAGGGTGGCCAACATCAATTTTCTCCTAACAAAAGTCTTTACATCATCAGGAGAAATTGTTATGAAAATTAGTTAAATGATCACCAAAAAAATACTTTTGATAGTTAGAGGAAATGTATGGAGAAGTCTGGATAATTTGTATGTGTGGGATATTGTGGCTTATAGTGTTAAGGCTCTCTGAGGGCTGCCTGTGTCATGATGTCTGTTTTGCCTCAAAAGGAATAAGTATGTGTATACTCAAAGAATAACTGCATTACATTTCATGATAGAGCACAGTGTATAATTATCATTTATTCATTAATTAGTAAGTTTTTTGGGATTTGGTTTTATTTTCTTTTAGGAACAGGACACTAAAAGGATATGGAAGACCAGGAGATAGTGAGCAAAGTAGGAAATTCACCTTTTTTTTCTGTGAATGCTACAATACTAGCAATGCCCTTTTGGTATTGCTTGTTACCTTTTCATCTTAATTAACATCTTAACTTTCATAAATAAAAATAATAGGAAATATTTGGAACTTGCCTTTTTCTATTTTCCTTCTGATGTACTGTGTATGGGCAATAAGATTATTTTTATTGTGTGAATACTAAGGGGATAAATCTAGCTGCTGAAAGATTTAGGACTCCTTTGTGATTGGCACTGACGATTGATTATTTAAAGAAGAGCATCAACCGACCCTAGGTGTCTGCATTATAAATGTAGAGAGAGTGTCACACCAACCCTCTGTAAGATGCAGGACATCTTTGTGATTGGCACTGTCCTGGAGAGGTGCATGTGTCAACAGAATGGTGTGGACCGACCCAAGGTGTCTGTATTATAAAAGTAAAGGGGGTGTTACACCAACTCTCTGTAAGATGCATGACACCTTTATGATTGGTAGGTTCTTGTAGAAGTGTGTCAATTTAGATTGATTAAATAATAGCAGGGATCAACCCTAGCCTTTTATAGGTTGAGGGGGTGTCACACCAACCCTCCATAAGATTCAGGACACCTTTGTGAATGGCACTGTCCCAAAGGTGTGTCCAAAGATTGATTATTAAAGACTAGTATGGACCAACCCTAGGTGTCTATGTTGTATAGGTAGAGGGGGTGTCACACCAACCCTCTGTAACATGCAGGACACCTTTGTGATTGGCACTGTCCTGGAGAGGTGTGTCAAAAGATTGATTATTTAAAGAATAGCATGGGCTGACCCTAGGTGTCTATTTCATAAAGGTGAAGGTGGTGCTACACCAACCTTCTGTAAGATGCAGGACACTGGCACTGTCCTGTAGAGATGTGTCAAAAGATTGATTATTTAAAGAAAAGCTTGGACCAATGCTTGATGTCTTGTCTATGAAATAAAGACATAGTGGGTGTCCCACCAACCCTGTGTAAGATGTAGGATATGTTTTGTGACTGTGGTGTCACATCAATGCAGTGTGCACCACGCCTCTACAATGTGCAGCCCAGCTAAACCGCTCATAGGGTATGGTACTTGGTGGTGATGGTTTCACCACCTGCACCACATTTTGACATACATGTATTATTTTTAAATGCCTTAATTTATTATCTGTTGTTCTTTTTTATATTGATGTAAAGTTGAATTGCCGTCTCATGGTCAAAGGCTCTATGTTGACCCTTGTAATTATGAAGATCCAGAGGAAGCCTTGAAAGAGTTTGCCAAAGAGCTGGACAAGAAGTGGATCACCCTAGAGAAGGTTATTGGTGGAGGTATGTCAGGCAATTACATCTTCTTTGGAATAGGCACCACCCCTGAAAATGGTATAGGCAATGTTGTACTTCATGTACTGTTAAGTGTTCATTTTGACCTAAGTAACAGGCTGGTACCGCAGTAATTGTGAAGTGTGAGTAGCCAGCCGTTTCCTCTCTCTAAGTTAAGTGGTGACTGGGCAGAGTGACTGGGAGTGTTAGGCTGGTAGAGTGGTGCGTAGGGCTGGGAGAGAAGTTACTTTCCAAACATGCTTGATTTGGGGTCATGTTCACAACGTTTTCTTTTTTTCTTTTTCTGAAAGTTGCACCTACGAAACTGTAGCTGTTGTACTGTATATCATACAGTATAGGGAAGTCTGAACTTTTGAGTCAATGCATCAAAGTTTTATCATTTAAATAGAAGCCACAGAGCGTGTGTAGGACAATGTATGTGGGTTGCTTTAGTGCTGCTTATTATGCTGTAGAAGGTGGTTCTAAATCTTGAGTTTGTGGATAAAATCATTAGTGTGACCACTCAAATTGTTGTTCTTTGTAGTAAATTAGGTTTGAGTTATTGGATTATTGATTCTTTGAATGATCAGGTTACTGCTACTGATTATACTACGTACAGGCTGAAGGCCTTTCTAATGCACTTTATTCCCAACTCAGGTGAATTTGGTGACGTTTACCAAGGGACATTAACACGACCAGAGGAAGAACCCATTCTTGTTGCTGTCAAAACCTTGAAGGTGGGTTAATGTTTTGTTGTTGTCTTCTGTAGAATTGGCCAGTTGAAACTGCGTTGAGTCAAATAGCAGAGACTGCCGTTAACTATCGCGTAAAAGCCCTGGGCATATAACGGGGGAGCTTATATCCAAGGAGGTTTATAACCAAAATAGAAAAAGCGTTTCGAAACAACCTATAGCAGTGCTGATTTAAAGACATTTTGTTTTGACTGGTTTTTAATTAAGGATGCTTCAAAACTCTATACTAAATCGAATTCATTTCAATACGTTTGGAGAAGAACTGTTTAAAATAATGTAAGTTTTAGCTGCTCTAATACATCATGAAAGTAAAAGCTCAGAAGAATCAATAATTTACTGGTTTGAGTTTTGTTGACGTCATGTGAAAACCAAGAATTGATGATTTGCAGAAAGAACCCTTTTTTATAGCTGTTGGTTTAGAACCTCATAACATTGTACAACTCTTACTTCTGGTTTCATTATTTCCTTGTTTGTTTAACAATATACACCTAATGTCATATCCCGAGGGAAACAGTAAGTTTTGTTTTCTCGAGGGTCCTGATGTTTCCCGAGACGAAGTCGAAGGCTCAGGGTCCGAAATTGCGCTTTCCTGGTAGCCAATGCGACTAAAAATTTAGTCCTTGCGACCAGAATTTCATAGCTGGTCGCCAGCTAGCGACTTGTAAAGCTGGTTGTTATTGTGGACTTTAACGTTCGGAGAAACTGATTAAGAATTGAAACTGAAATTTGTAGAAAGAAAAGACTTCACCTGTACACGTACGGTTGCTTTCTGGTATCGGGAGCGGAAGTAGTGCAATTTTTGAGCATAAAAACGTCCATACCATGTATTTTTTAATCGTGTTTAAACTTTTATTTGAAAAAAGAGGAGGGGGAATTTTTGGCGACCACAATTTTACCCTCTGGCGACCAACAATTTATACTTGATCGCCAGTTGGCGCCCGTATTAAAAAGTTAATTTCGGACCCTGGAAGGGGAAACAGGACTCGAGGGAAAACAAATCTGACTGGTTTCCCAAGGGATCTGACATTAAGTGTTTTGTTATATTTATAGACTTTCACTTCATCAGCAACAAAAGAATAACAAAAGAATAACCGGAGGGAATCAAAACAGTACTTATAAGAACACAAATTTAATTCTAAATACCACTGAATGAATGATTTACCAAGTACTTTCCTTGTAAATTATTATCCGCATCGTTTTCCTCCACTAGTTGCTGTTTCTCCTCTGGGATAACTTTGAATATCGTTTCTTTTTTGATAATAGCTTGAGGCTTGTTGTTTGTGTTGTTGTGTTCATTCACGAAAAAGAAAACTGGCAGGACCTGGCAGTGTTTTTCCCGCCTTCTAGCACGCCATTTCCAAAATGCTTTGATAGCGTGCTGTTATGTATCCCGAGCACACTTGGTACAATTGCTTAAATGTCTCGCGATCGGGATAATCGGGATACATTTGATTTCAGTCAAGGCCATGTGACCAAGAATCAACCAATGGCTGTCCCTGTTTAGTTGAGTGAAAGTCTAGGAAAATAACAAGTTCTTTTATTTGCTTCAACTTATTAATTGTTTTATGTCCCTCCTTTCGTGTAGGCTGGAGCAGCAACAAAGAACCGTAAAGATTTTATATTTGAAGCTTCCATCATGGGACAGTTTTGCGATCCAAATGTCATATATCTGGAAGGTGTTGTAACTAAAAGTAAGTGGAAATAGGGAGACTATGCCCATCATTCACAAGAGAACGGTTGGAGCCCTTCAAGGATGTCACCTGTACGTAAATATTTGTTTTAAAAATAAATGAAAAAAAAAAACTTTGTCTAGTGACTTTACTGAAATGGCCTCAAACTCTTATTTTCTCATATTTACCAACAGCCTTGCCGTTAATGATTGTTATTGAATTCATGGCCAATGGCTCCTTAGACAACTTTCTTAAGGTAAGTTTACCAGACTTCGCGATATGATTACTGATGATTGTTGTATCTTGAAACTACAGACTTCTAATGGGCATTTTAAAGGACGTTGTTGCATACGTTTTGCGCCTTTTTTACCAACTGAGGCAGGTTGTATCCTATTGTAAAAAGATTGTACTCAGGCACTCTGATAATAGTTTGCGATAAAATTGTCATGTTCTATTTGTTCTGAAATCCTCTAAAGGTGTGAATGATTTACTGTATCAGTACCTATCTTGAAAGACTGGACCACCTTGATTAGCTTAGGCTTTGGCCAAACGACGAACTTCTCTTGAGACGAATCAAACCCTAATTTGGGTCGACGTAAATTAAGTTAAGATCTTCTGTTGGGTCAAACGTCGAAGTTAGGACGCATCAAACAAATCAACTGAATCAGACCAAAATAGCAGTTTTAGCCGGTCAGCGAGTGTTCAGCGATAAATTTCCTCCCGAACGAGACTACTAAGAATACATTATCATACAAATTTTTAATTACTGAGTTTAGTTTGTTGCATGTGAAGATCGACGTTTGTCCCGGAGACGATCCTTAGGCGTTTTGTGCGTCTGAAGCAGACGGATAGAACGTGTTAGACGATCCAAACTCATTCAGACGAACCTCATTGAGCCAGACGTCGAACTTTTCAAGAACGCCGGTAATTCACTGAGTTTGGTTTGGCCTAGGCCTTAGCTACCTACAGGTCGATCCATTGTAAATGTGTCATTCCTTGAAAATAATAAAGTTGGCCCTTTTTTGAAATTTGATTTTTCTTAGAAAATGGATGGTAAATTAACAATACAGCAACTGCTTGGAATGGCACGCGGTGTTGCTTCGGGAATGAAGTTTCTGTCCGAAATGAACTTTGTTCACCGGGTATGTAAATTTCAGCCAGCTAGTCCGTGGCTGATATTTTTTAGTTTGTCTTGTATGGTGGTGATGTGGAGGCGTGTGTGGCCGAGTGGTTAACACCTCGAACTCCGGATCTGGAGGTCCGGGGTTCAAGCCTCGCCCGTCGCGTTGTTTCCTTAGACAAAGAACTTTACTCCACTTTATCTCTCTTCACCCAGGTGTATAAATGGGTACCTTCGAAATACTGCTGAGGTTAACCCTGCGATAGATTAACATCCCGTCCGGGGGAAAGTAGCTATACTCTTAGGTGCTTCATGCTAATGAAACTAGGATAAGCTCCAGCTGTTTGGGCCTTTGGCTCGTGTGCGCCGCTACCTTACCCTTGCATGGTGAAATATCAGGAAGAAAAACATTGAGATATTTTTGAATAATATTAATAATAATAATAATAATATTTATTGATTTGTATTGCGCAAATATCAATCCAGGGAAAGAAATTTTCATCTGCGCATAACATTGACTCAACAAAATCCTAAAATCCTAGTACATATTCCAAAAATTAACAAAAAAAAAAAGTCTTATTTACCGATCGTTCCTAAAAATTAGTAAAAATAACAATTTAAAAATAAAAATTAATCTTTAAAATCCTATATACAAATCCTTCTTAATAAAGAAAATAAAAACAATAAATTAGCTGGGAAACTCCTTCTGAAATAAATGAGTTTTAAGAGCCTTCTTGAAAGCATTAACTGAAGATATATTTCTAATTAACCGGGGAAGATCGTTCCATAATTTAGGGGCAGCCATATAAAAAGATCGATCACCAAGCGTGGAAAGAGACTTGCATGGTGGAATGTTAAGAAGTTTGCCGTTATTTGATCTGAGATAGTACCTACTCCCTGTGTCTTTCGGTGAAGGAAGGATTCAACATATTTTACTTCCGGTGACTTTAGAGGAAGTGGTTAATCAGTCACCCAGGCTTTAGTTAGAAAGTAGCCGACATTTCACGACGCGACCACTAGTCTCCCGCGAAGTTTCATCTGAGAAACGACTTTACTGAGAAATTCCATACCGATGATGTGCCACTACCCAGATCTGGGTAGTGCGTCTGATTGGTCGTACCGCGTGTGAAAGTTGCCTCAACCAATCAGAAGCACTACCCAGATCTGGGAAGTGCACGTCATCAGAATGGAATTTCTGTGCTCGTTCCTCAAACGTCATTTCTCGGGGAAAGCAGTGAGGCGTCGCGAAATGTTGGCTGTTTTCTTAGGCTAGGCTATACTGTATGTATATCCGACTAAGTTGTCGTAAGCTCGATAAGTACTGGCTTTGAAGTTCTGTTGTTTTCTATTCCAGGATCTTGCTGCTCGGAATGTTTTGGTTTCAGAAACCATGGTATGTAAGGTGGCTGATTTTGGTCTGTCAAGAGAGTTGGAAGACTCTGCTTATGAAACGAAGGTATCTCATGGGTTTTTTTTTTTGGTTTGTCAGTATCGTGTTTGTCAATATGAATGTATGTGAGGCACGCTGTAGATATTCTTCGCGAGCAGATGCAATATGGATATCATTGGACAAATAATAATGTCTGATCAGATAGTTTTGGAGACCCTCTCCTACTCGTGTAGGAGACATCCAGTTTAAATACAGCACAAAGTTATGTCAGGCAAGGCTTCAGATATCCACGAAAATATAGTGCATAAATGCGTGTTGGGTAGGTTTGCAGGCATTTCGTCTAGACGCTGTATAGTGTGGATATTGCACAAATAAATACCACGTTTGCAGATGTTCGAGGTAGATTGCAGACTTGCCAAATCTCACGACTTTTTCTTACCTGTCTCAAGCTCTCACGAGTTGGCAATTGATTTCTCACGCTTTTTCGAAAAGTCAAACCCCAGAAAAAATTTGGAGCAGTGGGGTTCGTTTGCAAGTTAGATATGGATAGATAGCCAGCTCAATCCAAGGAAAAACCTTAGTGGTCGCGTTTTTTTCCTTAAGTCTACTGTCACTTGTCGCTGCCGCCAAATGCGCAGACGCGCAATTTCCTTCCTTTCAAGACGGCCGCCAACAAACTGGACCATCATCTTGTCTGCAGCGACGAAAAGGGGAGTCATATATCTGGTGTGGAGGGGCGGTCGTCTCGTAGACAAACTAAGCTTTCCGGCGCTGCAACTTACATGTACAAGAGCACTTTCGTATATTTGGCGCATCCCACTACCTTTGACCCATTTCTTACTACTTCTCCCAGCTCAAGATTCGGAATTTCATATTTTTTTGCCTTTTGAGGGCTGGCAAGTCTGTTCGAAGCCACTTTTTGTTCATTCTGTTGCCGCACAAAAGTTTCCCCTGGTAGCTTTCGTGTATTTACTGTAAGTCTACTTAAGAAGTACTAAGTGGTGTATTTTAACTGCAGTAAAGTTTTGTTTTGTTTTTTCTATCGTCACCTGCCCTCTCGAGTATCCGTTTGACTTGACTCGTATTTTTCTTCAGGGGGGTAAGATTCCTGTGAGATGGACAGCTCTGGAAGCGATTGAGTATCGTAAGTTCACAGCGGCAAGTGATGTTTGGAGCTATGGAGTTCTTTTGTGGGAAATAATGTCATTTGCAGAGAGGCCATATTGGGACTGGTCTAATTTTGAGGTGAGTGGAAACATAGGTTTCTACTCTGTATCGTGCTGGGTGACCTGTGTCACAGTCATACCAGTCTATACCACTTATTAAAAGTGGTTGTGATTGATATCGATGATTTATTTCAGTCATATTTATTAATGCTCCCCTCCCCAAATCCAAACAACAAAATAGCAACAACAACATACAAAACCAAGCAGACAATCAAATGGAGAGCTGTTTACCGTGCTCAAACGTTTTGATGTTTCTTTTCTATATACTTTTTCATGGTATTTAAGTCCCCTAGCTCAGCTCCCTTTAATCCGGTAGCTGCTGTTGAAAACAAATAAGCTATTGAATTTATTCCGTAGAAGTTAATAGTTGTATTTAAAAGAATCATCTGCTTATTATAGGGGTCCTGTCCTTGCATCGGTACTTTGGCTGGCCTGTGCAAGTGTCAGCCTCCACGTGCAGCATACAGTGGAACCTCGATTTAACGAACCTCTATATAACGAAGTTCTCGGTATAACGAACGATTTTCTACAGCCCGGCCAAAATTACAGTAAAATGTATGGAACACAACCTCGATCTAACGAAATCCGCGTTATAACGAACACAGTCCACAAGCCCAAACGTAAAATTTGCCTCGATATGACGAATAAATGTCACCATGTGATAAAAGATAAATGCCAAACAGACCAACAAGGATAAAATTTATGTGTACAACAGTTTTAAGCAATTTTGTTTGCCTGTTCTTGAGTTTCTAGTGCCGTAGCTATGCATAGCTCGGTACTGAAGTGTTATTACAGTAAGTTTTCAGATCCGGAAATAATGGGTTTTGTAAATTAATTATTAACTATACCTCGATATAACGGACATTTTGGTAGTTTTCCCGAAAATTCGTTAAATGGAGGTGTTCGATATAACGAACCCTCGATTTAACGAGCAAATTTCCCCTGTCCCTTTGCACTTCGTTAAATCGAGGTTCCACTGTAACAGCTCTCTGGAGTTGTGTTCAGTTTAAGAATGGTTAACGGTGGAACATTTATTTCATCAGCTTAACTAACGTTACATTCACACTATTACCGGATAGCTTTTCGTAACGACACGGTGTAGTGTGAACACTTACCTGATATTGCTAGGCGCGGTGCAGCGCAGCTTCACTCCACTACTATAATCGCGCCGAAATCACCGTTCTTATTAGTTTACTGAAGCCCTATCCGGTATGGTAGGCACCTTACGATCCGACAACGGCGAGGCTGAAAAATAGACTTCGCGTCCTTTACAACTTTTTCGCCCTTATACCAAGTCACCCAGTTACTTGAAAGAAGAGAAGTTCGGTTGGAACTGAAGAGAGGGGACCGCGTCCGATTTCAGAGAGAAAAAGTAAAATTTATCGCCTTGCCGTTCCCGTTCTCACGTTGCAGTTGTGCAGGGGTGGCAAAGAAATGTACAAAAAAGCGTGATGCAAGTGCAGAGTTGTTGTTTTGCTCATTAAACTTATTGCTTTTTTGACGTTCCCGTTGCCGTCGCCGTCGTAGTTTCGTAAGGTCTCGGCGCAAAAGCCATCCGGTATCGTTGAAGTATTATGTTTGAGTACTGGCTAACTGATTATCTGCCTTGTCTTTTTTTATCAAGGTGATGGACCGAGTCAAAGGTGGCTACCGTCTTCCACCGCCTTTGGTACGTAATGGCTACGTGTTACTTTCATAACTTTTAGGTTGAAATCTTATTCTTGCTTCTAACGTGAGTTGTACTGAAACTCTGTAACAGAACAGTAGCTACACTTGTAAGTTACACTCACAATTGTAAAAATTTTATCTATATGACCGCAGTTTACAGTTCAGTTCTGTTGTTTAGGTATTTGAAAGCTGGATGTAAGTCTTTGCGAACGACAGTTTAAACTCCTTATTTCGATGAAGAACCACGGATATAGTCCTGTAATTGTTCTGCTACTTCAACCGTTAATAATCCTTGGCCGGCTTAGAGCACCGGGTATAATTAGCAAAGCTAAATGGACAACTTAAATATTTTAAAGCAAAGAAGATTATCGCGATGCTTATGCAGATCATTAAAAAATAAGACAGAGAAAAAACAAACAAACAAGAAACGTAGGAGTTACACCGGCTAAGACTGATACAAGCTGGCGATTAACTGTGACAGTGATTGTAACCTTGTAAAGGAAATTTGGACGTAATAAAGTTGCCTAGTCATACAGTGTTTGTGGCAGATGAAATAGGATCCTCTCATTGTTGAAGTTTGTTTTATTTTATAAGGTTTCTATTGCACGTTTGTAAGCGACTCTAATAGGGGGATCACATGTCACATTCACATGATCCATAGGCGTAGACATGGGTGGAGTAACTCATTCTACTGGAATTAAAAGCCCACGATGCTCTGAATGCTCGATAAAAATTTGTGGTTGCGTTACTGAAAAAAGACCTAGCAGCAGGATGCAATAACTTATAGATAATTTCATTCTATTTTACCGTTATTCCAGGGATGCCCTAAAACTATTCACCAGATCATGTTAAATTGTTGGAACGCTGACAGGAACAAAAGGCCAAAGTTTGTTGATATAGTCAAGCGGTTGGATGTGTTAATTCGCTCCCCAGACAGGCTTAACGAGGATCCAACTCCAGAGCCCAAGTAAGGAGTAGTCGTTACATCTATATTTATCGTTGTCATATGCCACCGACGCGAGCCACTAGCGACATAGCCGCCGGGTTCTAGTTAAAACCCTTTTGCCTTTCGTTTATTTCTATCTTTTTTTTCCTAATTTAGTCAACATTTCATTCAAATCAAAAATGGCTAAATTATGAAATAGGGTCGGAGGCATTGGTTCAATAAAGATTTGAGAATTAAAAAAAAAATGAGTTTTCGAATGTTTTAAATGGATAAAAATTAGAGGTGGGGCGGGGGTTGGGGGTGTTTGAAAGTATGGAGAATTTGAAAATATGGCATTTGGGGGTTGTTGAAAATTAGAATGCGAAGGGAATAAGATCAATTTAGGTTTCTGGTAAACTGCCCACCTACCCCTCCCCTAAGCCATCATTTTGCCCTAAGTAAGAAGTAAGTGTTAATGTTAGCTTAGGGGAGGGATAGTGGGCTGTTTCCCAGAAACGTAAATTGACCCATAGCCGGGGGAGGGGTACTGCCTTATAAGAGGCTAATGGGGATGTGCCGCTGGATGGGGTCGCATTTTCACGCCTGGATTGACTATAACGGGGTCACATTTTCAATAGAGTTACTAGAATGGGATCGCACATTTTCGGATTTTTGGGGGTAAGACAGTTCTTCATGTTTACGGTTAGCAAACGTACCAGAATGTTTGTACTGCAGATGAAAAGTAAAGTGTTGTTCATTCAGTTTAAAGAATGGGTCAATTCATAAAAATAGAAATTGACTAAGCTGGGATGTAGAAAATTACATATTTGCCCAAAAGTGATTAAGATGGGGTATATAATTGGCCACAAAATAGACTATTAAAGTAAACAGTCTCATACGTCAAGTAGACTTCATTGACTGTTTGTTTCAAAGTAGACATGTTCCAACTCTTTTGACGGTATATCTGTTCGCAGGTCTCCGAAACTGGAATACACCGACTTCACTACTATCAAAGACTGGCTGGAAAGCATCAAAATGGGCCAATACAACGAGATGTTCAGCAAAGCCGGATTTACGCACTTACAACAGGTTGCTTCAGAAGACGAGTTGGACCTCAGTGGAATGGGAATCAAACTCATTGGACACAAGAATAAGATTCACAAGAGTCTGAAGGAAGTTAAGAAAACGCTGAGCAAAGATACGGCCTTTTGAAGCTAACCAAGTTTGTACATAAAATCAAGTTAACGATGGGCGTCGTCTCAGTCAGGTCTTTGACGTTTCAGGCTATTTACCACGGTTGCCTTTATTTGGATCTACGGATTTGCATCTTTAATTTACACAGCCTAGTGGCTGTACCCGAGTAGTGCTTCTATGTGGCGAACCCTTGACTTAAGGTCTGGACCCACTAGAAACATTTCTTACTTGGAGACTGGGAAGTGACGCTTCATGCTTTTAGTTTCCCCACCCCACTCCTCGTCCAAATGGTACCAAGTACTTCCAGTACAAATAGGTTTCATTTTAATGGCTACTCGTGGATTTAATTCACTTTAATTTACATAATTATTATTTGTTAGTTAGACTGATTTCGTTCATAGCAAACTAATGGCTACCTACAGACCGCTTGAGTAGTTTTCCATTTTTATGGACGTAATTTAGCATTTCATTATTAGTTGAAACACCATTTTTTACGGCATAATAAACAGCACGGGCGTACATGTATTGTAAGTGACATTTATTGGAATTGTAACGCCTAAGGGTTCCATTCAGACTCAAAAGGATACGAACCCTTTTACTCAGCATACCAAAACTTATCTGCGACAGGAAAACTTTTTCAGTAGCCTTCGGTGAAGTGAAATGCTAGGATGTTATTGACCAACCTACGAGTTTTATTTACCGCTTACATGATAATAATAGACACTACCACAGAAAGCAGAGAAAGGTGCTGTCATCAGCTTTGATTTAGATGGTCACGTTTTAGCATTTTAAGCTAGAACCACCTTGCGAAACATAGTAATGAAGAAAACCGTAACATGTGTTAATTTGCAGCTTTTGCTTTGTCTCTTGAGCAAAGCCGTGACGCAGAACAACAGAAGTTTATTTACAGCTGAAATACAAGACAAAACTGTACTAATTTTTAGCAGTAGAGAACAATGTATAGTTTTTCTTAGACTAACTTTGTTTGACACCAAGTATTTCCAGTGTTTTCAAAATATTAAAGATATGTCGCCTTCGCCATACATATGAAGAACTTTGCTGCATTGCGCCAGCTATTTTGATAACTAAAAGTGTCTTGTTAAGAACTACATATATATTTGAAATGGTCATAATTCTGACAGGGTGCGCTTTCCGCCTGTCTGAAGATTAAAATATATGCTTGGTCGAGATTAGACGAGAAGTTTAGTTTTTTATTGTGCATTTGGGACAGTTTTGTACTCTCATTTCTAACATTAAATTGTGAATTATTGATATTTTCATTGGTAATATGACCAAAGATTTTTTTTATTCCAAGAAATAAATAATATAAGGCTTTTACTTTCTGCCAAAGAGGGCAGATAATCTCGATGTGTATAGTAGCGAAATTGTTCACCGAAAGGTAGCGAAACCATGGTTACATTTAATTTAGCAAGCATCTTTTATTGTATTAGTTAAGGCCTTTTAGTACGTGTTAAATAGACAATAAAGTTCCAAACAAAGTAGACTGAACAAAACTTAATGTATCAGCTCTGACTTTACTGGCTGTCTAGCATTAATAGATTTTTCTAATATGTTAAATCAGAGAAAGTTTAGTACGGTCATACATCTTGCTAACACCGCTTAACACAGACACTTCTCTAGTCTACTACACAGCCGTTTTTAGTGTCGTCACGCAACGCTCCTCCGTTGCGTGACGACACTAAAAACGGCTGTGTAGAAGACTAACACTTCTCTGGTTCGAACAGTTCTCTGCGCTCAAACAAGTACCCGGCTATTTCAAAAGTTTGCGTAAGGAAGGCAGATGTTAGCCCCCTCCAGATGGCTGGCAAAGTGTCCATGAATAGAACGGAGAAGTCATTACGTCACGTTGCCATGGTAGCAAAATTTCTGGATGACAACAAACCGAAAACGTCGCTTCTAAAGTGAGTTCGCACTGTTTCAAACTTCATCGATGTTATTCAATTTAATTCAATTTGTCAAATATTGGCGAAACTCTCTGGGGTTAAATCCGAAAGGACCGTGTCTAAGTTTAGAAAAAGAAAAATAAAATTTTTGAGTTGTGCTCACCTACTTCGTAAAGCGGGTAATTAGGAAGTTTTACGTCGCAATCATGCAACGACGACTGAGAAACGTACACAAAAGCGTGGTGCACGTGCAGAGTTGTTTTTCGGATATAAACCACTTGTTTTTTTCCAGTTCTCTTTGCCGTAGCCGGCGTCGTTGCTTAAGCTCGCTATTGCTGTGATCCAGAAATTGTGCTTCCATGGTAACGTGACGTCACACCTCTTTATAGAGCGTTTTCATATGACGTCACGACGGCCATATTGGTCTTCCAAAACAAGGAAACGGCGGCGACACGGCGGCCATGTTGGTGTACCAAGACAACCCTGTGGGAATTGACCTCTTTTCTTATGTAAAAACTTTCTTTTGTTCCAGTAAATTAGCATAGATGCTGGCCACGTGAGTGAAAACGCTCTATTGACTTTCTGTCTTAAGCGATAATACTGTCTAGTGAACCTTCTCTGCGAGGGAAAACGTTGGGATCGTCACTTAGTGAACGTCTTTATGAATTGAATCAAAGAAAATGACTGAAGGATTAAGAGACTGAACTCTGAAAATGAAGAAATGATCGTCGCAGTGAACGCAATTTGTGCAATTGCGTAAAGAAGCCTGAAAAAAAAAAAAAAATCAGGACTTCAAAGGGGTTTGAACCCGTGACCTCGCGATACCGGTGCGATGCTCTACCAACTGAGCTATGAAGCCACTGACGTTGGGAGCGGGTCAATTGTGGGTTCATATGTTCCCGTGAAAGAAATGAGTGTTAATGGTATATGAAATAAATCATATATGAACTGCGGAAATGAAATGAAAATGAAGAAATGATCGTCGCAGTGAACGCAATTTATGCAATTGCGTAGAGAAGCCTGAAAAAAATTCAGGACTTCATTTCTTTCACGGGAACATATGAACCCACAATTGACCCGCTCCCAACGTCAGTGGCTTCATAGCTCAGTTGGTAGAGCATCGCGCCGGTATCACGAGGTCACGGGTTTAAACCCCGTTGAAGTCCTGAATTTTTGTTTTTGTTTTCAGGCTTCTTTACGCAATTGCATAAATTGCGTTCACTGCGACGATCATTTCTTCATTTTCATTTCATTTCCGCAGTTCATATATGATTTATTTCATATATCATCAAGACTCATTTCTTTCACGGGAACATATGAACCCACAATTGACCCGCTCCCGGCGTCAGCGGCTTCATCGCTCATTTGGTAAAGCATCGCACCAGTATCGCGAGGTCACGGGTTCAAACCCCGTTGAAGTCCTGAATTTTTTTTTCAGGCTTCTTTACGCAATTGCATAAATTGCGTTTACTGCGACGATCATTTCTTTATTTTCATTTCATTTCCGCAGTTCATATATGATTTATTTCATATATCATTAACAGAATGAACTCTAGGCGTCCGTTCTTAAAGAGGTCTCCGTATTATCGGGGTGTCACTGTCTTTGAAAAGATATGACTCTGTTTGAAGGAAGGTGTTAAATAATTAACAATTATTGGACGAGTTTGAGCAAAACATCGTGACTTGTCAGTGGCGAGCAGATCAATTTATTATTATATTTGCCTAAGACAAATCACAATATTTTGGGGTAACCGACTTCTCAATAATTGTTTTATCATTCGATCACCAAGTTTGTTTTTTTTTTAATGAACATCTTTGGGAAGCGAAGCGATCTGCCATTTTTCACGCAAGAGCGATTCCAAGAAGGAGAAAAGAGTGGTTTCGTTTACGCGTGAACCGGATATTATTTGCAACCAGACACAGTTGAACGACATTTAGCCTGAGAAAACAGCCGACATTTGGCGACGCTACCACTTGCTTTCCTGCCAACTGACGTCTGCGAAAAGAGCACAAAATTTCCGTACTGATGACGCGTCACTCCCCATATCTGGGTAGTGCTTCTGATTGGTTGAATCAAATTTCCCACGCTGTACGACCAATCAGAAGCACTACCAAGATCTAGCCTACCCAGATCTGGGGAGTGACGCGTCATCAGTACGGAATTTCTGCGTTCGTTTCTCAGACGTCATTTAGCCGGGGAAACAGTGGTGGCGTCGCCAAATGTCGGCTGTTTCCGGCCTCAGCCTAGACGACATTGCGCATGTCAGACCATTATTCGTAGGCAATTATTTGCAGGTCACGTGATTGACTTTCGGCCAATGAAAAGGAAAAAAGATTGCTTTGAATGATTAACGACAAATATGACCATAGGTGGTCACCTTCATAGTAACAAGCGGTAAATTTTTTCGAGTGTGGGAATTGTTTTAAAACTCTGAAACAATAAGCAGACTCAACACTCAAGCGAAAGATTTTAACAGTTAGGTCATTTGTCCATCACTAGATCGCTGGAGGAAACAAATAAATATTAAACTCAAATTGTGTCATTTGTAAATGGACTCTTTTTCTGGCCTTTAAAATTTTGCTAACATAATTTAAGTTTTGTGGAATTTTATTGAATTACCTCTTAATATTTGGATTGTTTGAGTTTTTGTACATCTTGTAGAACTCAGTCAATAACTTGAGGCGTTTCTCATTTTTCAGATCTGACCAGCCAGAAGGAATCTCACTTTTTGTCAAAACTATCCAGCCAGATCAGTCAAATCATAAATAGTATGCACGGATATAGTTTTTCGGCAAAAAACTCTTGGAATGAGCGCAGTTCATTTTCGACATTGGACTGGTCCTGTCATGGTCCGTCCGGCCTGCCGTGACTTTTGAAAGCGCCCTTAGATTCACAGCCGATACCCAAAAAAGTTAATTTCTCGATTAATGCATCAGTCACCTGCGCCCAGCCCCCTCCCCCCCGGCTGACTCCCGGGCTGACCCCCCGGGATTAGCATTTTTTCTGCCTTGGATGGCAAATTCCCCAAGGGTGGGGACTCTTGAGCTGTCAAATCCCCCGGGGAGGGGACGAAAAAAGAGGGCAAATGGCCCGTCCTCTGTCAACACTGCAACATTTTTTTATTGATTGCACAGTCAAATAGTGCCATTTTAAGCATTTTAATGAGCAATTTTTTGTTTCAATTAATGTCTTCCTTTGTAATAGCGCTAGGATTCTAATTATGATGCCACGACGACAGGCACCAGTTGATGGTTTTAGTATATATTGATATAAAATTATTGACATTAAGATTAATAGAGCGCTGTAAATTAAAGTTATGTGTTATGAATAGTTTTATAAATATGAAAGGATGTTCTTCAAATAATATCAACAGAAATTTGATTCAATAACCAGAAAACGTTGATTCACATCGATAGCTCCAATTTCGCTACGTAATTCTGGCTTGATAAGCAATGAAGAAATACGTACATACATGTAAAATCGAGAACATGCCTTTACAAAACTCTACAATTTATTCCTGTCCTTGATAGATGAGCCAATCTGCTTTTTTTCCAGTAAAACCCTCTGTGTAGTTATATTTTGGGAGGAAACTAAGTGCGTGTCAAAGCTCGGGAGGAATGGCCCCGGGGTTGGCAAATTCCCGGCCCCCGGGCAGTGCAAAGTTTGCAAATGCCCCATCTCCGGAATTGACAAGGCGAGCAAATGCCCCGCAGTAGCCCGTAGATTTTGAGAAATCGTCTTCCGTTAGCACCATTGCTTTTTTCTTCTTGACGCCATTTATTATTAAAGAAGGATCTGGAACCGTCTGCCATCTTGGATCCGCTACTTTGAAATAATTAAATGCATCCAATTTTACTTAAAACGCGTGTAAACCGAGGCAGTCGTGATAGAAAAATTGATCCTTGTATAAAAGGACGCTAAGAAAGCCAAACAATCCGCAAGTTTTAAAATTCTGTGAAATAATTTAAAATTGAATCCAGCATCTGCCATTTGGTCATTTCAAATTCATTTTTTGCTTAAAGGAGCTATGTCACACACTGCGCATGTGCGCGATGAAGCGTTACATCTTGAAAACGTTCGCCAACTTTTTCAAGTTCTGCGGGTGATTCAATATCAGGAGTTTATCGTTATTTATCGCAGCCATCCGTTAACAGTTCGCATAGTTAAACGTTAGTTACTATTGTACAGCCCTTTTAGAAGGTTCCTGTGTGTTTTTTGTTTCAATGACTCTGATCAACGGCTTATTTGAGGTCAACTGTTTGGAGGTAACAAATGTCCTCTCATGGCGGTCGCCGATCAGGAAGCGGCCGCAAGAAAATCTTCGCTAGCAACTCAGCGAGGCTTCAGTTCTGGCGTAAGACTCGTAAAAGGATTTCGTTGGATGGAACACTTTTCTAATCTTGGGTTTCTACGAGGATCAAGTGCGGATACGACAACGATTCCATGTTTGCTGCCCATCTTCTATCGCTCGAGACAAGAAGAAGGTAAATGCATAAAATGTCTGTTCAATCTGTTTGCTGGCGGTCTTATTTTGAGTTAATCAGTTGTTTTGAATGTATGTATCTATTTTCTTTTACAGGGATAGTGCATCTACCGTT